GATTCTAACTATTATGCATAAAGCCACTATGAACAGAGTTGTGCAAATGTTCCTGTTGAATCGTGGACCATCTTTCAGGTATATGCCCACGAGTGAATCTTGAAGTTGTGCTTTCCCAATTTTCTGAGAAAGTGCCAGATTGATTTCCAACGTGGTTGTACAAGTTTGCACTCCCACCAGCAATGGAGGAGGATTTCCCTTTCTCCACATTCTCTCCAGGATGTGTTGTCACTTGATTTGATCTTAGCGATTCTGATCAGAGTAAGATGGAATCTCAGAATCATTTTGATTTGCATTTCCCGGATGACTAAGGACGTTGAGCATTTCTTTAAGTGTTTCTCTGTCTTTGATATTCCACTGTAGAGAATTCCCTGTCATGAACTTGATTGCCTGCTTTTTATCACTTCACTGTGGTGCAGCCTTGCCAGGCCACAGAGGAAGAGGATCCAGGCAGTCCTGATGAGACTTGATAAGATCAGATGACAGGGGACTAGGACTCCCTCTTTCAGTGGGAGAAGAAGAACTGAGGATGGGTCCCAGAAGAGATGAAGAAGTGGTCTACAATCAGGATATAAAAAGGATAAATTGTAAAAACTGAAAAATTAAAAAAAAATGTCTCCTAGCAATGGTGGATACTGAGCCCGAACTGTTCATAACCTCTTCCAATGGAGGAATTCATACATCAACCCAACCTCAATGCTTTGACATATAATTTTTCCTGTCTACAAAGTATGCTGTGATGAAGGTGGGACAGAAATTGTGGTAGTCGCCAGCATGACATCCATACCAACAAAGAGAACCCACCCCTGACAATATCTGGACTGCCGGGAGTCGGTGGCTGGATAGCCCAGAGTCCCATGATAGAATCACACATTGAATGACACACAAAAAAGGCAATGAAATGAGCCCCAATATTATTCTGCTCTATTTATTGCCTGCTTTTTATCACTTCCCGGTGGTGATGAAGCCTTGCCAGGCCACAGAGGAAGAGGATCCAGGCAGTCCTGATGAGACTCTATTTACTGGTGTCTAGTCCAATTGTCATCTTAGAAACTTCACCCAGAAACTGATGGGAACACATGCAGAGGTAGGGCTTCAGGAATCCTGGGGAAGAGAGGGAGAAAGGATTGGAGAAGCTGGATGAGTCAAAGACAGAATCAACCAACCATAGTTCATAGTAGCTCACGGAGCCTGAACCTCCAACCAGAAAGCATGCATGGGATCCACCTAGGCCCTCTCCACATATGTAACAGTTATGTAGCTTAGTCTTCATGTAGGACTGCCAACGGCTAGATCAAGGGGCGTCTCTGACTCTATTACCTGCCACTGAGACATTTCCCGTACTGGGCTTCTTGGTCTACCCTCAATAGGAGGAGTGCATAGACTTACTCTAACTTGGTATGGCAGGCTGGTTGATATGCATGGGAGGACTCCCCTCTTCTGAAGTGAAAAAGAAGGTGGGAGAGGTATAAGCAGGGAGAAGGCCTGGGAGGAGAGAGGAGAAGAGAAACCATGGTTGAGATGTAATTAAATAAATTATATATATGAATATATGTATATAATATAAATACATATGATGCTTTACTTCATAATAAGCATTCTTGGCATAAGAACCAGAGTATGCAAGACCTCGCTAGACCATATCTTTTATGCTCTTTATTTTTGGTCACGTGAACCTTCCTTCTCATGATCCTGTCACTGAAGAATGAACTGCTGGTCCAGAGACTGTGTCAGCTGTATTTTGAGGAGTCAGCATTCCTGGTGAGATCCATGGTGGCTGTGTCTTCGTTCCTCCCTTCAAGAACTAGCATGTCAATTCTGCATCCTTGTCGCTCTCATTCACCATATTACTCAAATAGTTAAGCATCCATGCAGCACTTGAGGGATTACTAGAATGAGAATTATTCATTAGAAATGTGAGTAAAATTTTTCCGGGAAAATTATAGCACTTTTATAGTATTGAAAATTAGGAAATATGTAGAAACAAAGAAGAACAAATGTAAACTGTGATGTCTCATCATCCAAAAATATCTTTAATAGCATGTCAGTAGGTTTTCCACAACTTTGTTTTGATTTATTTTATTTTTGTTTTTTGTTCATTTCTTTCTTTTTCCCATAGAACTTTCAGCAGCTTTGATTTTATAAATGTTTTTTTAACCTGTTTCATTTTATTGGGGTATTCAATCCATTGATATAGAGAGATAAATAAATGATTGTTATTTCTTGTTATTTTGTAATTGGTGCTGTGCTGTACTTTGTGTGTGTGTTGCTGGTGTGATATTATTATTTTTGGTTGTTTTTATGGGTGTAGTTAATTCCTTGGCTTAGAGTTTCCTTTCAAGTCTTCAAGTGCCTAAGGTAGGGGTAGATGTGTGGATATGACTTACATATGACTATAATGGAATATCTTGGGGTTTTGTTTATTTGTTTGGTTTTTCTATCTGTGGCAATAGGAAGTTTTCCTGGGTAAACTATTCTGAGTTGCTGTCTGTGGTCTCTTAGAGTCCTCAGGCTATGTCTGCAGGTGTTTCTGGCTTCTAGCGTTTCAATTGAGAAGTCGAGTGTAAAACTGAAAATTCTGCTTTTATATGTTACTTTGCCTTTTCCCCTTGCAGCTTTAGTATTCATACTTTGTTTTAAAGATTTAATGTTTTGATGATTATGCAGTGAGGAGACTTCCTTTTCTGTTCCAATCTATTTGGAGTTCTGTAAGCTTCTTGCAACTTTTCAGGTATCTTTTTCTTTAGGTCATTATTCTATGATACTGTTGAAAATACTTTCTGGGTCTTTGAGCTGGAATTTTCTTTCCCCTTATTCTACTCCTGTAAGGAAGGAAAATCTCAAACACCACAATGATCAATCTATCCAACCAATAAGCCTGTAAAAGTGTTGAACAAAATATATTTGAAATAACAAATACTTAATTCAAAGAATTTATGAAATCTTATAATTGACAAATAAATCACAACTTAAATCCATATGATATTCCATCCCAATCCATTGATGACAGCAAGCATGTGGAAAATAAATCCAAGAAAGTAAGTTAGCATTCATAAGAAAGAATATTCTATATTCCAAGTGAGAATAGAATCTATCTAGTGTGGCCAGTGTGAAAATTAGTATAAGGTTGAATCAAAAAATTAAAATTCAAACTAGGTGGATCCTCTGTCTCATTCCTTGGAATGTGTAACTCAGCATCGTTCAGACTCATTCACATTACTTCCCATATAATCCAGGATATTCACAATATAGAAATCACACAAGCTGCATCATTAGATGAATAAAACCATTATCTATCTATCTATCTATCTATCTATCTATCTATCTATCTATCATCTATCTATATCATGCCATAAATAACAGTGGAGTTCACTCTTTTTTAAATTTTTTTTACATGACCGAGAAATGAACATTTTAATCTATTGCCTTTGGGGTAAAAATGGATTTTTGTGATAGAACTGTTACAGATAAATTATCTTACACACAGAAATATATTGTAGGAATTGGAAGAAATCTGAAATTCAGAGTTGACAATATTTATCTGTTGAGAAATGATGTTTATGTAAAAGGTACAATATGATGAGTCTATTTCATTTGCAAAGAAAGGCTTTTTTCAGTTGTTGAATAAGAACTATAAAAAAAGTGTTTTCATCTGAGAGTTCACAGACTGATTTGAGCAATTCTTCAGGCAGGAAAGCAAAATTGTGTAGCTCATAACATATGGAACTGTACAGAATCCATGATGCAGTGTTTTCATTAATTCTGCAAAGTGTGATACCATAGTCACTGGAGCAGCAGTGTCTGTCCATTCCAGGAAAGATTTATTTATTATTTATATAGTTTTCTTCCTGCATGTACACCTGCCGGCCAGAAGAGGGCACCAGATCTCATTACAGATGGTTGTGAGCCACCTTGTGGTTGCTGGGAATTGAACTCAGGAACTCCAGAAGAGCAGCCAGTGCTCTTAACCTCAGAGCCATCTCTCCAGCTCAAGTTCACTCATTTGCTATAATGTCTGAATATGCTTTCTCTGTCATTTGGAATGAAACATGAACAAAACTAATCCTCATTCTGAGACTCTTTTAGCAAATATGTTTTCTATGTTCCAATCAAAGGAAACATTAATTAAATGTTAAAAAACATTTAAAGGCAATGTTTTAAAAGAAGGTGCTGCATGTGGAAATTAGATATGATACTCAGCTATTACCCAACAGAAGCAAGTCTGGAGCAAAGCATAGTTTTGATTGAAGAAATGCATCATTACAGGAGACTAAACATGAGAACTGGATAGGAGAGAGAGTTTGTGTTTTAGAAATGTTTGACTGTGAATGTCTGCATTGTTACGGGTCACTGTAAGTCATAAATTTTCTGTTATTGGCATGATGATATGTTTTTCAGAGTACAGTAAACTGGTAGTTTCCTGACATTCTGCATATGTTACTAGAACATATTATCATATGAGTAACACATGGAAGGAGATATGCTCCTGTCTGGATGCTGTGCTTGAGGCTGCCCTTTCCCATCATGAAAAACAGAGGCCATATTGTCCCATGATTCAGTAATAGCTTTGAATTGCATGGACCCTTTATGACCTCACCTCTCATCTCACTTTGGATTTTCTGATGAAATCCTCTGATATCATTGCCAATGATGTTCATGCACATGGCTGTTGACACAGGTTGGGGACCAGAGCTGCTGGGGATAATATTGTCCCTGGAGCATGTAGTGAAATCATGGCACCCGAGGCTGGAGGACATGGTCCTCACAACATGTTTTCTGAGCTGTTTGATGAAAGTATTTCAGGTCTCAGATCTGGATCCTGAGGCCATAAGTATCCAGGGAGCATGTCACAGAATGGGGAGAAGAAAACTAGGGGACATAATGTGCCTTCCTGCAATCAGTGACAGTAATAAAAGAGACACACAGGGGTAAACGTGCATGTGCTGTTTGCCTGCATGAGTAGCTGGTTCATATCTGCTCAGTCTCAGCTCTTGGAAGACATGAGGAAGCTGTGTGTTACCATTATTTCCTTCTTGCTCCTGAAGCTTTCTCTCACATTGTGCAGTTTGACAGAAACCAGCTGCTTTTGGAGAATAAAGGACAATGAAGATGATTATGGAGATTTACAGGACAACTGTCAATTTGTTCTTTTCTTGAATCAGAAACCACAGGAGGAAGATTTTTATAATGATATACTTGATTTTAGGTAAATATTAACTTATTAATTTCCTGCATAAATATAAAAAAAAATAGAAGTCTGTACCTGTGTAGAGAAACTCTGAAAGTTTCTTTCCTGTGTTTCCCTCTGTAACATTAGGATAATACAGATAATTTTCTCTTTTATTCTTCATTACTTTAACATTTTCAAAGGCATTTCCTTGTAGTGTGGATTTCTTATATTAGAATCCAATATAATAAGCTGTAAAGTGAAAGAGACAGGTTACACTTTCCTGTTTCCTCATGGATCTTCTTACGTGGAAAGTTGCCATTGCATAGAGTCTCATGATCTGACATGAAAACACAATCCACATGACTGGCATGAGTTCTATGTGAATAGTGTATATTATAATGTCTCTTCAAGTGTCTGCCAACAATTCCTGCTTCAGCCTTTATTCTTAAAGGTCTTTATAAAGAGGTTACTTAACTTTGGTCTCTAATAATAGTGTATAATGTTATACATAGAAAAAAAGGTGTGTGACCAGTGTACATGATTACTTATGGAATATTATACATATATTTGTGAATATACATATATATTGCTTTTTTTTGAATTTTATTTTTTTATCAGTTACATTTTATTAACTCTGTATCCCAGCCCTGTCCCGATCCCTCATTCCCTCCCAGTCCTTCCCTCCCTCCCTCCTCTCCACCGTGCCCCTTGCCAAGTCCACTGATAGGGGGGACCTCCTCCCCATTCATCTGATCCTGTTTTATCAGATATCTTCAGGACTGGCTGCAAAGCTCTCCTCTGTGGCCTAACAGGACTGCTCCTCCCTTGGGGGGTGGGGAGGCCAAAGAGCCAGTCATTGAGTTCCTGTTAGAAATAGTCCTTGTTCCCCTCACTATGGGAAACCAATTGGTTACTGAGCTACCACAGGCTACATCTGAGTAGAGGTTCTAGGTTACATTCATACATGGTCCTTGGTTGCATGTCAGTCTCAGAAAAGACCCTGTGCCCAGATATATTTGGTCCTTGTGGAGCTCCTATCCTTTCCTCATCAGACTAACTCCCCTTCTTTCTTATGATTCCCTGTACTCTGCCAAAGGTTTGGTCATGAGTCTGTGCTTTGAAAACACTGCTAGTTAGAGTTTTTCAAATGCGCTCAGTAGACTCCTGTCATACGTTCAATGCGCATCCCATCTGTCTTTCTAAACGAAGATTGATAATCTTACCCCATGTCCGCTCTCTTGATTATCTTTTTTAGGTGTGTAGATTTCATTATGTTTATCATATCTTATAGGTCTATATAAGTGAGTATATACCGTGTTTGTCTTTCTCCTTCTGGGATATTTCATTCAGAATGATCTTTTCTAGATCCCACCATTTGCCTGCAAATTTCATGATTTCCTCCTTTTTGATTGCTAAGTAGTATTCCATTGTGTAAAAATACCACAATTTCTGTACCCATTCCTCTGTTGATAGACATCTGGGTTGTTTCCAGGTTCTGGCTATTACAAATAATGCTGCTATAAACATGGTTGAGTAAATATCCCTTTTGTGTACTTGAGCAAACTTTGGGTATATACCTAGCAGTGGTATAGCTGGGTCTTGAGGAAGCACTATTCCTAATTGTCTTAGAAAGCACCAGATAGATTTCCAGAGTGGTTGTATCAGTTTACATTCCCACCAGCAGTGAAGGAGGGTTCCCCTTTCTCCACAACCTCTCCAGCATGTGTTTTCCCTTGAGTTTTTCATTTTGGCCATTCTGATGGGTGTAAGGTGAAATCTCAGGGTCGTTTTGATTTGCATTTCCTTGATGGCTAATGAGGATGAGCATTTCTTTAAGTGTTTCTCTGCCATTCGATATTCCTCTGTCGAGAATTCTCTGTTTAGCTCTGTTCCCCATTTTTTAATTGGATTACTTGGTTTGCTGCTTTTCAGCTTCTTTAGTTCTTTGTATATACTCGATATTAGTCTTCTGTCCGATAAAGGGTTAGTGAAGATTCTTTCCCAATCTGTAGGCAGTCGTTTTGTTTTGATGACAGTGTCCTTTGCTTTACAGAAGCTGTTCAGTTTCATGAGGTCCCATTTATTGATTGTTGCTCTTAGAGCCTGTGCTGTTGGTGTTCTGTTCAGGAAATTGTCTCCTGTGCCAATGAGTTCTAGGCCGTTCCCCACTTTTTCTTCTAACAGATTTAGAGTATCTGGTTTTATGTTGAGGTCTTTGATCCACTTGGACTTTAGTTTTGTGCAGGGTGATAAATATAGATCTATTTTCATTTTTCTGCATGTGGACATCCAGTTGGACCAGCACCATTAGTTGTAGATGCTCTCTTTTTTCCATTGAATGGTTTTGGCTTCTTTGTCAAAAATTGAGTATTCATAGGTGTGTGGGTTTATTTCTGGGTCTTCTATGCGGTTCCATTGATCCTCCTTTCTGTTTTTATGCCAATACCATGCAGTTTTTATTACTATTGCTCTGTAGTACAACTTGAGATCGGGGATGGAGATACCTCCAGATGATCTGTTGTTGTACAGGATTGTTTTGGAGATTCTGGGTTTTTTGTTTCTCCATATGAAGCTGAGAATCTTTTTTCAAGGTCTGTAAAGAATTGAGTTGGCATTTTGATGGGAATATCATTGAATCTATAGATTGCTTTTGGCAGGATGGTCATTTTCACAATGTTAATCCTAGCAATCCATGAGCACGAGAGATCTTTCCATCTTCTGATATCTTCTTCAATTTCTTTCTTCAGAGACTTGAAGTTTTTCTCAAACAGGTCTTTCACTTGCTTGGTTAGTGTCACCCCAAGATACTTTATGATATTAGTGGCTATTGTGAAGGGTGTTGTTTCCCTAATTTCTTTCTCGGTCCTTTTGTCTTTAGTATACAGGAGGGCTTCTGATTTTTTTGAGTTGATTGTGTATCCTACCACTTTGCTAAAGGTGTTTATCAGCTGGAGGAGTTCTCTGGTTGAATTTTTGGGGTCACTCATATATACTATCATATCATCTGCGAATAGTGACACTTTGACCTCTTCCTTTCCGATTTGTATCCCCTTGATCTCCTTTAGTTGTCTTATTGCTCTGGCTAGGACTTCAAGTACTATGTTGAAGAGGTATGGAGAGAGTGGGCAGCCTTGTCTTGTCCCTGATTTCAGTGGGATTGATTTAAGTTTCTCTCCATTGAGTTTGATGCTGGCTATAGGCTTGCTGTATATTGCCTTTACTATGTTTAGATATGTGCCTTGTATTCCTGATCTCTCCAAGACTTTAAACATGAATGGGTGTTGGACTTTGTCAAATGCTTTTTCAGCATCTAAGGAGATGATCATGTGGTTTTTCTCCTTCAGTTTGTTTATGTGGTGGATTACATTGATGGATTTCTGTATGTTGAACCACCCTTGCATGCCTGGGATGAAGCCTACTTGGTCGTGGTGGATGATATCTTTGATGTGTTCTTGGATTTGGTTTGCAAATATTTTATTGAGTATTTTTGCGTCAATGTTCATAAGAGAGATAGGTCTGAAGTTGTCTTTTTTGTTGGGTCTTTGTGTGGTTTAGGTATCAGGGTGACTGTTGCTTCACAGAATGAGTTTGGTAGTGTTCCTTCTGTTTCTATTTTGTGGAATAGTTTGAGGAGAATTGGTGTGAGCACTTCTTTGAAGGTCTGGTAGAATTCCGCGCTGAAACCATCTGGCCCAGGGCTTTTTTTGGAGGGGAGACTGTGAATGACTGCTTCAATTTCCTTGGGGGATATAGGGCTGTTCAGTCTTTCTACTTGATCTTGACTTAATGTTGGAAGATGGAATCTATCAAGAAAATTGTCCATTTCATTTAGGTTTTCAAATTTTGTGGCATATAGGCTTTTGTAGTATGACCTAATGATTGTTTGAATTTCCTCTGTGTCTGTAATTATGTCACCCTTTTCATCTCTGATTTTGTTGATTTGGATAGATTCTCTCTGCTTTTTAGTTAGTTTGGCTAAGTGTTTGTCTATCTTGTCAATTTTCTCAAAGAACCAGCTTTTTGTTTCATTGATTCTTTGAATAGTTTTATTTGTTTCTAATTGATTGATTTCAGCCCTGAGTTTGATTATTTCCAGCCTTCTGCTCCTCTTGGGTGTATCTGCTTCTTTTTTTTCTAGGGTTTTCAGTTGGGCCATTAAGTTGTTTGTATGTGATGTTACGAATTTCTTCTTGCAGACACTTAGTGCTATAAATTTT